AAAGAAAAAGGGAGAAAATTCAGAAAAAAACGAAAAAAATCCAAAAAAATCGAAAAAACCCCCAAAAAATCACAACAACTGCGGCTAGTTGAAAATCTAGTATGCATAGGTTGAAATAAAATACAAACATACTCTCTAATAGCGGATTCCATAAACTATAAGTATGAATAAAACCCAAAAATCCCCAAAAAATCCAAAAATCCGTTAATTTTTGGTTAATTTTTGTCTTTTTTCGTTATTTTCCGTTAATTAACGGAAAATTAACGGAAATTAACCTCTGTCCGCTATTAACGGATCCGGGTGGCCACCTCTAACCCGTGCACGTTGAATACACCCCCAGCCCTCCCTTGCCTCATCCGTTCAACTCACCCTGCTCCCCATGCTCTTGGCCCAAGGCGGCTCCCAAGGCAGGCCCCCTCGGGCGCCGCGCCCCCCTTGGCTGGCCATTGGACAAAATGCGCACGCCCACCCACCGCCCCCACTCCCCGCCCGTGCCATTCCGTGTTGGCACCTTTGGCATCAGCGGCACTGATTCAGCGCCCACTCTCCCCGCTACCTGGATGGCAAGTAGCGGGCGCCTGCCTGCTTACCAATCGGCTGCCCAGTGGCCTGCTGTGAGAGGAATACACACTAAGTACATTATACATTAGAGCCACTGAAATTCGGTTGAAAACTAAATTCGGTTGCTTTGCATTTCCCTCTGGCACCATTATTTTTTTATTCATCGACTCCGTGAAAAAGGGCTCAATGTTATGTTACTATGCGGAAGGATTTAGAACACTACGGTATTAATGCTCTTCAGCATGGCCAGAGTTGGGCAGCCACTTAAGGATAGTGGATTGCCTCATTGTTTCCTTGGTTATTCTCCTACAACCATTCGCCAAGGCAGCACATTAGCACCATAAACGGTAGAGGCATAGTGGCTATCTGATTTTTCAGAATACGTCGCTTACATCATATTAACAATTCTCCCCTGCGCTTTTTATGCAGTGTATATATGTTCTTTTCTTCTCTCAACTAACTTTCGTGCAAAATGTCGGTAATGGGGCCACGGAAAACAACAAAATATGCATTTTGGGCATAAGCAAAATGCAAGAAACACACCACAACAACGAACTTACACACAAACAGGGCATTTTTGGGGTCACCCAACGGACAGGAAAACCACAATGTTGCCCACAAAAAATTAACTTGGTGCCGGCCAAGGACGCCTACAACCACCTCACAATCAATCCATGTGACCCACAAGTCGTGGGTGCAGCATGGCCTTGCCCCGCCGTCTGCCGGGGGTCCACCTATGCACCACAAGCATTTCCCACTTGAATTGGGGAATACTATCGTGGTCACAGTGAAACCCGTCAGGAGCGAACATTCCAGAACCACATAGTTGACAGAAAAAAGGCGTAGGAGAACACGAAGGAGGACAACCTTTGCGTGCGCCACGCGCGCAAACACAGGCAAACAAATGGCAATTTTGCGCACAAATTTCCCTGTTTTTTGACGGCCAATCTTGAGCACAACCGTTTTGCCCAAAAAACACATAATTGCGATGTTGCGCACATTGTGCGCTTGTCAAGTGCACCTTTTCGGACCTTACCGACATTTTGCACGAAAGCTAGTTTCTCCCTTCTCTCCTCATTTCATTTTCACTCTGACTGGTTACTTGACAGTGGCCAAGTCAGCTGCCCTATGTTGGTCATGAGCCCGCCTTTGATGTATCCGTGCTCATGATTAACGGCAATTTAACAACTAGCACACTCCGGCCGTGGAGAGCGCATCGCATTTGCGCCACTGCCCACCGCCCATTGCAATCGTGGGAAAAACACAAAGCCAATGGCCGACCCCCCACCCCGTCATGTAGGATATCATTAGGATGATCCACCCAGCGGAGCGCTGATCCCTATGAGTCCCACAAACTGATCTGTAATCTCACCGCGAACCCTCACACCCCGAGCGCACCCCTACCCATCGAGAAGCCACACTGTGCGCTGAACGAAGAAGAATGACCATTGTCGTGAAGAAGAATGACACTTGCTGGAAGGCCCCAGTTCGGCCCAGACCACCACAAGTCGCTCTGCCCGCCACCCACCCACCCAGACACCCACACCCCCGGGTAGGCAGCCGACCCCCGGGCAGCGCGGAGCGCAGCTGCCGCGGGCGCGATGGCCAGGCGCGGCAACGATGCCTTCGAGGGCCTCATCAGCAGCGTGCCCGGGCTGGACACCTCGGGCTTCGTGAAGCGGTCGATGAACGAGCAGAAGGCCGCAACGCGGGCGGCCTGCCCGGCGGCCGGGCGGCCGGAGGCGGTGTGGGGAGGGACCGGCGGCGCCCGACAAGTCCAGATGTCGACGGGGACAGGCGTGGCTGGCTTGACGGGGCAGCAGCACAGGCAGCAGGGCTTGGGCGTGAGGTCGGGCATGCCGTCGAGTATGGGAGGCGCGAACGCGGCGAGGGGGCGCGGGATGGCGACCCCAGCCGCGGAGGGATTCGAATCTGCGGCCGGCAGGTCCGGGTTCGGTCGATCGCCGCCGTCGGGCGGCGCGTCCTGCCCAGCGGCGGGCAGGGCGGGCAGGGGAGGGGCCGAGAGCTCGCTAGACAGCCTGATGGCCAGCGTGCAAGGCTTGGACACCTCCGGCTTCGTGAAGAGGTCGCTGAACGACCTCAGGGCGGGCGGCGGGGCTGGAGATGCCGCGGGGGGATCGGTCAGTCAGAGGCCTGCTGCGGGCGCGGGGCGCAGCGCGGATGCCGTCGGAATCGACCGGGCACAGCCGGACACGCTCGACCTGTTGGGAGGCAAGCTGCAGGATTCCGCGCCTCGTGGCGGCGGCGCGAGCGGCCTGGGCGACGCGTGGGCCAGCCCACCTCTGGGCGGGGGCGCCGCGCCGATCGTGAGCGTGTCTGCGGACGAGCTGGACGCCCTGAGCGCTCCTGCGCCCACGGCGGGGCCGGCGGTGAGCTCCGCGGGATTCGTGGACCTGTTCGACGGCATCCCCGGCGGGCTCCCGGAGGAGCCGCCGCCCCAGCCTGCGCCCAAAGCGGCCCAGCAGACCCGCACTCGGACGCCGGCGAACAGAGGGGACGATCTCCTGGGCATGGGCTCCCAGGACATCAGCAACCTCGAGGCCCTGAACATCGGGGACGTGTTCAGCCCACGCAGGCTGGGCGTCTCGCAGGCGGTTAATTACGGGGAGGTGGAAGATGAGGGGATACGGGCATCTGAGGCCAGCCCGCTGACAGCGGATCTGATCCCCAACACGCCTCCCGCTGAGAGCGCGCCGGCCCCGTCCCAGCGGTCGATTGGCTCCATCAGGCAGCGGAAGCCTTCCAAGGAGGCATATGCGGCCGTGTGCACCAACCCGGACAACTCGGACGAGGAGTGGGCCACGGCCTCCGAAGAAGGGTCGCCGTCGCCCCGCGACAACCCAATGGCAGCTGGCTATCAGGGGTTTGGTGGGGGCGACGGGGATCTGGTTGGGAGCCCGAAATTGCCAGCTGTTGGGGAGGATGAGGAAGTTGTGGAAGTCAAGAGGTCCAAAGCTCCAGTGTTTGGGAAGCTGTCCAGGGGAGTGGCTAAGGAGCTGAAGAAGGGGCTAGGAAAGCTGCAGAAGTCAAGGGGGGGCGAGGAGAAGGATGCAAAGGCGGAGCGGGCCGCGGCGGTGGATGCAGAGCAGCCGAAAGAGAGGGAGGGGATGGAAGAGGAGGGCAGAGGTGGTTTCAAGGCTGTGCAAAGCAGGGCCCTTAAGTATGGGCAGAATTTGGGGAAGGCGGCCATGCAGCTGCGTGACAAGGGGCTGGAGGCTGTAAAGCAGAGTCTGGAGGTGGCACAGGACTGGATGGACAAAGGATTGGAAGCCAGAAAAAAGAGTGAGGAACCTGGGTCGATTGAGGAACACTCTGCGAATGTTGAGAGGCCCCATGCCACAGGGCCGAGGGTTGATCAGCTGCAAGAAGATGATGATTATGCAGACATCGTGGAGATGGCAGCTGAACTGCAGAATTTGCCCTACGGGGATCGGTCTCTGGCTGTGAGTGAGATGGAGCCTGAAATTCAGGTGAAAGTTGTTGAGCTCCTCAGGTCCCAGGGTGTTGAGGTGATGGCTGGTGCTCAGCATCAGCCAACACACTTCAATGATGGCAGAATGCCGGGGTCGGGGTCGTTGAGCCCACCAGCCACCGCAGTCACTCAGCCACCCTCCCCTGGGTTTCAGCGAGCTGTGTCAGACAACGCACTCTCAAGAGATGAAAAGGGACTTTGGGATGACGGTCCTGTGGATGATGGCAGTGGTGATGGAAACCTGGGCTCACCAATGGGTGTGGAGAGGTCGTCGTCTCTGCCTGAGCTTGGGGAGGTTGACCTTCTCAATCTAGGCTCTTTGGAAACCAGCCCAAAGGCAGGGGCTGGGGGTGCCGGCGCATCGACAGCTGCAAAGGTGGTCTGTGCTGCCAACCCAGACGATTTGGGGGACTTTTTCCAGGGCACGGGCCCCAGTGCAGAGGTTGGGGTTGCTGGCATATCGGCAGCAGTGGATGTGCCTTGCACCAGCAATCCGGACGACTTGGGAACGTTTTTCCAGAGTTCGGTCCCTGTGCCACCCCCAAGCCCACAGCCGGAGGTCGACGACTTCTTTGGTGCAAGCTCCAGCCAGGCTGGCTGTGGCCAGGAAGGTGGTTCAGCAGTGGGTCAGCTTCATGTGGGGTCTACTGATGAGCTGATGACTTTCGATGGCCCTGAGCATGAGTCTAAATCGCAGGCGGCCGCAGCCGCCGCGAGGCACAGCAACCTGTATGCCAACAAAGGGGGCGAGGAAGGCGAGCCGGAAGTCAGGAGGATGCTGAGAACACAGAGGGAGCAGAAAAAGCATGCAAAGATGGTGGAGGCCCTGGAGACCAAGATCCGAAGGGACCAGGAGGAAGTCGAGCGGCAGGAGGCACAGCATGAGTACAAGGAGGCGTATGTTCCGATGATCCAGGCCTGGAAAGATCAGCACAGGGCCAACATCCGGGGCATGCTGACGTCCTTGCACACGATGCTGTGGGAGGGCACCAGTTGGAAAATCCTTACCGTGGCGGACGTACTGGAGCCTGGGCAGGTGAAGAAGGCATACATGAAGGCCAACCTCATCGTGCACCCCGACAAGGTGCGTCAAAAGAACGGCACCAACGAGCAGGTGGTGATCGCAGACATGGTGTTCGATGCGCTCAAGGAGGCCTGGAACGAGTTTCAAAAGGGTTGAGAGTGTGGGGCTGAGACATGAATTGGGGAGCGAAGTGAGGAAAAGGGGAGGCTGTGATGGTGGCTAGCGTAGTCGTCCTGGGAGGGCTCATATAGACATAGGCGCGCCCCATAGGGGCAGGAGGAAGAGCTCCTGGTAGAGTGGCCGAGTGCTGCAGGAACTCTGCTGGTCGAAACGCTGGGTGTGCGTTGGCTGAGGGAGCTTTTGTATGAGCGTTGGAGCCTGGGAACGGATTGGACATGCAGATGATCGGGTGCACAGGTGAGCCGACGAGTTGGGTGGTGGGACATGTGGACCATCACGCTGTCAAACCATCATGCATCGCAGAGCATTGTGGGCATCGCAGTCATGCTGTGGTGTGCTCGCATGCATGCAATCCGATTTCGGCATGCTCCTCGGAATTCGTTGAATTTGTTGTGTGGATTCAATTCTTGTAACACGTGTCAAATTCGTGGGCTGACTGTCGTTGGACACGAGAATCACCTGTTGTCATCTGCCAGTTTCGCATGGAGCGGTGGATAGCCAATGAAGCCCCAGGTGCAGGATGCCGGTTGCTTAGTTTTTCTCATCCATCTGGGCTGAATCCATGTGCTGAAGCCAACATCCTGCAAGACTGCCCTGTTCACGCACTCAGGCCAACCCCAGCATTAGATTTCTCATCCCGGGCAACCATGAACGCACGCACGTGTCGCATTCCCCGGTCACCATCACGCGGGCAACTCCAACAGGGCACCCCTCAGCGCCTCAAAATGCGAGTCTGTCAAGCTGTTTGCAGAAATCTGCCAGCATTCGCCCAGCCAACAGCCACACGGGGTCCGCTGCCCCCCAGTGGGCCCAGACATGTAAGATCTGTGTGATCCACGCATAGAAGTACGCTGATGGCTGCCTCCTCGCCCTGGTGTGCAAGATTTCTGCAGCGGGGTTCCCCAGTCAAACTCACCCGATCTGCGTCACCTCTGGCCTTCCCCTTTCCCTGCAAGTTTAGCATGTATCTGGGCGCCGCTGCGCGGCCTATGACAGTTCATCACGACGCCGCCCATGGTGGCCTCGCGGCGCCGGACAACTCCTCGCCCACCCCTCCGAGGCGCGAGCGGCTCCGTGGCGGACCAGGCGCCGCCCGCCGGCGCCTGCGGGCGATCCGGCCACATCCCAGAAGGTGAGAACCAGCCCCTGGTGCCAGCGAGGCAAGGGGACAATTTGGGTTTTGAGGCGAGGGCGGGCGTTCGCCGTTCTATGGTGTAGAACGGCGCGGGCGCGGCGCTCGGCTGGCCTTTGGGGTGGGGCGGGGCGTGGGGATCTCTCGCTGCCGGCGTTGGCCCGGTGGAGCGAAGGGAGCTGGGGTTTGTGTGTGCGATTTGTGCAAGTGGTGGGCGCCCCGTGGCGCGTCGAGGGACGAGGCGAGCAGGCATCCGCTTCCGGGCTGGGCGGCTCCGCGGCGAGGAATGGGGATCCGCCTCTGGCTTGGGCGAAGATGCAGGGTGCGGGAGATCTGGAGGCGACGCCATCAATGGCGCGACGACGTCGGGGCGTTGGGGTTGGGGAGGAGGGGGCTGTTCGAAACGTGCGGCCGAGTTGTTGTTGGATTGGGCTGCGAGAGTGCAGGCCTGGCTGCGGTGACGCGTGCTGTGGCCAGGGCGGAAAGCGAGCGTCACTTGGGTATTTGTTGCCTCTGGGGGCGTGTCGGAGCTGTCCCACGCATCCGCCTCGCGCCCCGACGCCTGCAGGAATGAAGTGGCTGGGCTGCGCCCATGGGGTCGCTTGACGATCTGAGGTGCTGCGGGTTACGGGAGGCTTCCAAGTGCTCTCTGACGGGAGCACATTAGGCACAAACTGTCGCTGGCCATTGGTTTGTGGCATATGCTTGAGCTGGCCGTGGTGCGTAAACGGCATACTGGGGATTGCCGCAGCCACTAGGGGTGTGCAGGATTTGGGGCATGGGGGTCTCCAGCACAGGGGTGCAGAGCTCAGGGTTGGTGCAAGCTCGCACTCCCCAAGCAGTGTCCCAAGTTTTGCACTGCACTCTGTGCTGGAGGAAACAACAGCTGCAGAGGCGTACACGTTGCGACCTGCCACCAATGTTGAAACGTTGATATGAGATTATGTGGGTATTGGCCGTACTGTTGCCTGAAAATGCTGAAGCTCTAGGAAGCAAATGTCTTGTTCGCTGGCCATCGAGTTGCATGGAAACACATTTCTTTCTGTGTCAGACACTGAACAATTGAGGAAGCTTATTTATTTATGCGTCTGCCATCGACGGATCAGGGAGTTGGTCAGTGTAGACCTGGCTCATGTATCTATGTGCCTGCAAGGGATACGAGTGACAGACCCTTGGGCTGAGGACGAAATGCTGGAGTGTTTCCTTAACCTAGTCTGGTATCGTTGCATGAGTGTGGGCCACTATGGGTTCCCAATCTAACCTGAGATGAGCCTACCCTTGGTGTCAGTTTAGAAAACTGCTGGACAAGGAACTGGAAAGTCAAGTGCTTCTTGGCTTAAGTCCCATAGGTGTTAAGGCAGCCATTGTGGCCATGTGCTCCCTCATGAGAACACCTTGTGGTCATAGTTGGGTCATGTCGTGTGGCAACAACTTTCCAACATTTTCATCTCTGTTGCGCCAAAGTTCGGATCAATGTCTCCACTGCATAGTGGCACATCACTGTGGGCAGCAGACTATGATGTGAAGGCCTGTTTCCTGGTGGCCTTGGTAACTTCTGTCTTCGAATGCAGCTGTCAAATTGAACAAACAATGCCTTCCCATCTTGAAGAGAACGTCAGCAGGCATGACTGTTGTCCAGTTGATGATGTTCATCTTATCAAAGGGTGAATCAGTACAAGGCAAATGCATCATCCCATGCATTGTACCACCAGGTATAGCAACCAGATTCTTTGTGCACACCCTGGGCTCAGTGAGCTTTCTCCATTGTACAAGCCAATGCATCAGCAGTATTCTTGGCCGCCCCTCCCCTCCCCCACCCCCACCCCCCTTGGTCACCATGCTGAAGAGGAAGTGCTGTGCACAACAGGCTGTTTCCTCAGCATGGCCACTCAACGAGTTGTACCTGTTGGTGCACAGGTTGGTGAGCAGGGACTGAGATGGCCAAGCCAGAGAAGGCAGGGAACCGTCGCTCCAGCCGCAACAGGACACAGGTTCGCTGTACAGCGGGGCTGTTTTTCTTTGGGCAGGCAGGATGAGGAGGGACCAGGCTTTTGTGTTGCAGTGTTCAATGCACACGCCATGCCAGAAGTTTCCAGGCTGTTGCCACTCGTGAACTTGCAAAGGGGCACCTTCAGATTCCAGACCTGTTGGTCAATTTGCTCTGCTTTGCCCTCGTTGGCACTCATGTGCGATTCCTTATTAGCTTAACACATGATAGTCAAAGACTAATAGAAATGAGCAAACTTTCACAACACAATGACACAGCAGCTGTGTTGCTCCAGGTCAGCTACCTGGAGCTGGACGATGTGGACAACATCAGTCCAGAGATCGATGTGGTGAAACTAAGGAATCTCATAATGCAAGGAGAATTTGAGCCGCTTGGGGATGCCATACTGCCAGCGTGAGGCACATTTTGGGAGGCAGGCATCCAGAGCTGCTGTTATCTTGTGCATTTGAGTTATTGCAGAATAGTCAATAGATATAATAACAGTATCTTTGGTGGTCTGTACTGAGTAGCTTGAGTAGCTTTTAGTATCGCACTTGAGAGTACAGATGCACACCTGTCCCAACAGATTTTCTCACCCTCTTTGGCTGCTGTAGATGTTGTTCAGATTGCAGGGAGGGTCAGTGCTGCAAAGTGCATTGCTTCTGCCTTGGTTTGGATTGAATGGACATTCAAGCACAGCAATATGCTTGGTGCTCATGCAAGGATAAGAGATATCCAAGCTCGAGTTCCTGACAGCCAGTTCACCAAATGCTGTGTGTCTTGCCTTATCAACCCACAACTGGCTGGGGATTGGGAAAGGCCTTGTGGACACATGGCAATCGCTTCCCTGTGATGAAATTGCCAGGAATGTATCTATGCAGCTAACATGTCAAGGATGCACAATACCATGGTTCTGTTGTGTTTTGGATGAAACGGTAGGGGCTTAAATAATTTTACTTTGGGGTGCAGGGCAAATTAGCTGCTGAAACAGGCATTATGATCTCAGTAATAAGACTGCAGCCCTAGTTGGGATGCAACATGAACATAGTTTCACAATAGAAATGTCTTTGACCTGACTATGCAATGCAAATGTCAGGGATCTGACGATGACAGAACTGCGGCGGACAGGCTTCCGTAAGCCGTATCTTGTTGCACAAGGAAGGGATGTTGAGGAGACGCGGAAGGCGCTGGGCATTCGCCTCCCACCCTTTGAGCTAACAACACATACCATCGCGGAGAACGTGGGCTATGAGTACCCTGTGAACATAGTGGATGTTGCGACACAGGGGGCTGGGCCAAAGTGGACTCTGGGACAGGTAGGGCTGCTCTGAGAGCTTGCATCAACAGCAGCTGAGGAAGATTCCTTGTCAGGCAGAAAGAAACATGAAGACGTCAAATTGGACCATGCAACAGGCATCCCCTTTTGGACAACAATACTTGCATCTCTTGTCAGTGCTTGGAGGAGGACGCGTGCAGTGCCTGTCAGTGCTATGGGGACAGGCCATCACAATCCAACTCTAGGCTCAGGACATCAATCCTGTAGATATGTCTGACTACATGAGTGGTGAGCGGTTCGATTGAACGGATTGGCACATAAAATATGCTATTGGATATGTTGACATGCCTATAAGATGCAAGGGGGCTGCTTTGTCTTGTCAAAGGCTATTCTAAAGGACTGCAGCAGCCTGTAACCGTGGTTTGGCTGATGATTTTCGTAGTTTAAAGGAAGAAAGCACGCCACGCAATCGACCCCCCATGAAGGCCACAATGTTGTTTTGTTCATTCCACACACTGAAGTCGACGTAGCAGTCTGTGAGTGCAACAGGGACGGCACACTTCAGCCCTGTTGCTGAGATCGTTTGTGGGCGTGTTTTCTCTGTACTGCTGCATTGTTGACCCTGGAGTTGTGCGTTAGGAATTGTTCTGGGTGGATTGTACAATGTCAGTCAGCCAAGCAGCGGACCAATTGTCTTTCGGTGGATTACATCCCCATGTAAAATCAGAGGTCCTGGCTCGGGTGCCCACAGTACCTCCAAGAACTGCAATATCACATGCAGCTGCGAACCTTGTTTCTTTCCAAATCTTCACCCGCCATCGTGATTACGGGCCTGAATGCACTTTCATGGCTTGCTTCAGACGGATCGCTTTCTCTGACCAGTCGCTGAATCAGAAAAGAACGATAGTGGAGAAAAGGAACTCACATTCTTCTGTGGAATTAGTCAACCGATGTTTGACGTGTTCATTCGGTTGGAATCGTCCAGTGGCGAGAGTACTTCTACAAACCGGCCAAGCAGCGCGGTCGCTTGCTCAACGTTGTGAGTCTTGAGCTGTCAGGGAGCAAGCTCGCCAAGATGGTCGCGCCGCCCACGGTGGTTTGCCAATTGGACTTGGTCAACAGGGTGTGGCCCCAGGACGATCCTGACAAACCACAGGTGTGGAGAGCTACATGCTCAACGTCTCTGCTTGTGGCTGCACAACTGTTGTACCTATGTGCCTGATACATATTTGCCCAGAATATCTTCCTTCCTGCGATAAAGGGCTTGGATTAGCTCAAGCGAGTGGCTGTAACAGCTTGACATGATAGGCAATGAGCTTGTGCTGTATTTTTTTTCCACAGTGTTGCATCACATTTCAGTGTCCAGGTGCCTCCCCCGTCCAATCACAAGGTGTGTTGGCCTTGTGCCACCTAGCAAGAGCGTGCAAGGCCATGCAAAGCCCCAACTTGTTCGAATCCAAAGTGATGCTCAGTCTGAAGGAGAAAAGAGGAGTTAGGCACTCCAGGATGGGGCCTGGAAAATCAGCAAGCAAAGTGAATCGCATTTGTCTCTAGGTTTGTTCTTATGAGCTGCAAGAGAGAATCATGCTCATGTCTGTACAATACCCACCCATGAGACTCCCATTCTTGTACTGTTGTTGTTTTTATTAGTAGTATGGAACTGATGGATAGATGGATTATCAGTGATAAGGTGAGAGAGGTGCGGTAATCTCAGCATGGAATACCACATGTGAATGGAGGTCTGAGCATGTCAACTTCGAAACAGTGGATGATGGTCATTGTGCAGCGCTGATGCCTCCTTGTTCTGGTGATTGACTTTCACCCGTTCAGCCACTCTTACAAGAGCATGTTTTGATGGATTATTGCGCTGCGAAATGGTCACTACCCTTGCGAATGCAGAATGATAAACCAGCGGATTCTTTCCTAGCTATGCCGAAGATCAAGGGACCTTTGGCCAACGTGTTGGGAACTAATGAGGGCTATCGATGATCAAATTCCATTCCTGCATGCCTGTCACTGAGAGCTATGTTGCCTCACAGCTGCACAAAGAGCAGTATGTCCACTGTCTGTCCCAGTGACTGTGATGATTAACATCAACACCAAAAGCCCAAACATCCCAAATGCTCACCTGCATATGGGTGTGATGAAGGTTGTGCAACTGGCACTGTGATTGCAACATTTCAGGGCACTTGGCAGTCTCTAACTGCGGGCCCAAAGTGTGTTGTTGCTTTTGCAACTGGTGCAGGTGCTCCTGTATGCGTTGATGGGAGTTGCTGGCTGTGTCACTGACTTCCACGTCGACTTTGGTGGTTCGTCCGTGTGGTACCACATGGTGTCTGGCAAAAAGGTGTTTCTGCTGGTGCCACCCACAGATGGCAACATGGAGCTGTTTGAAAACTGGTCTTCTGGCGAAGAACAGGTAAGATGACAGCATGTTTGGAGCGGTTGTTTCCTCTTCGACTATGTGTCCCTCCCTGTTCTTTACTGCAGCAGTATGGAGATTGGATGCCAACTGCTGCTTTTTGATGTTGCGTTTGCCTTGGAAGTTTGCATTGTTTGCATTTTCTTTCTTTGCATTTATCTGCAACAGTAATGACGTCGTGGTATATTGCAATATATGTTACAGTAACTGGACAGCCTTCCTCAACTGTCCAAATTTGGTTGAAGACAATGTCAGGCTGGACCATTCGCAGATGCAGCAAGTGAGTATGCATAGTCCCATTTGTGAGAACGCAACCAATTTCTTGTTCAAATGTTTGTGGTACTCATGTGGGCACTTTGGTGTTGCAGCTGTCAGTCTTCTATGGCAATCTGGCTGAGGGTGTGATGAGAGTGGAGTTGCAGGCTGGTGACACGATGCTGATTCCATCTGGTGGGCATCGGGTACCTTGTGTACCTTGCAGTTCATGTTGTGAGCCTTGCTGGGCTGCATTGAATTCTGTAGCACAAGACTGTAATACTTCCACTGAAGATTGTGTTCTGAACAGGATTCAACAATTGTCATGCAATGAACATCTGCCTGGTGAGCTGCTGCTGTGTGGATATCGTTGCATGTGGCGAATAATGATGTGGATGTCTCTAATTGCATAATGCTGCAGACGGAAATGGCTTGCAGGATGAGAAAGTGGCTAAACTGCTGAAATAGAATGTGTGCTGATACATACCTAATTGTTGTGCCCTTATATGTGCCCATTATTGCCTGGCAGGTGCTGGGGCAGTGCTTTGTCACACCTGGTGGACACAGACAAAGGGAAGATTGCATAGGTCACCTTCACGGAAAAGACCACAACCGCATCCATGTATCTTGCAGGCGATGGATGGGATCAGCAGGATCCCACCAGTATTTACTGAATGCCCCAAGAGCACAATTCCACACACCACTCAGCAACCAAACCCAGCCAGCTGGATTGTAGAATGGCAGGCACCAATGTCCAATGCTGCTGCTGCACAGGTTGGCCCCACGCTGTTGCAACACCTGTGGACTCTGCAATTTTCTGCACGGGCTTGACATATCCCACCAGTTGCTCGTCTGGAAGCTGGAGGAGCGACTGGGCATCAGACAGGTATTCAGGTTTCCCCTATACAAGACAACAATGTGGCACACAGCGAGGCACTACTTGGAGGAGATCAAGGCAGGGAGCAGGAGTGGCAAAGGTATGTGTGAGTCTCTTCTTGTCGATTCCAAGATGCACATCACAAGCCCAGCAGTTCAATGCTTTGAAGCCCCTTGAGAGAACAGACCTTGGGCTAAAGCGCTGGGCATCCCTAACCTGATGGAGTCATACCCCAACCCCATCCAACAGAAGGGGAACAAACATCATTGCTGGGGGCTGAGGGGCAGGCATCAATTGGTGTTTATTGGATCAGTTTTCACTGAGTTTTTGGCTTTGTTTTTGGTGGAGATTCACCACTGGATGAATCGTGTTCCATGTTCTGAAAATCTACAGTTCGCGCAAGGTGGCAATTTAGTCCATGCAAAGACCTGTCTAAGTTCGGATCAACCCCAGAATGGGTTCATCATGGTATTCCTGATCTGAAGCCAATGGAAGAGCTAAACCAGATCGGAGAGTTAATGGCAGAGGGTAGAGCTTGCAATGTACTGCGCCTGTGCTGATGGCGTACCAATTTGCCACTTGCTACCTTGCCATTGCACATTTGCAACGTTTCACCCCTCTGCTGTCTGCACTGTTGTGTATAACCCTGGTTTGTCTGTGATTTGGTGAGCAAGGGAGCAAAGCACATACCAGGAAATCTAGAGACAATGGAATGGATGTGGTGCAACATCTGGCAGAATGCATCTTGGGAAGGAACTCTCAAATATGATGCGATGGTTTTTATTCAAAGAAGAATGATGACAAGTCGTGCAGGATGAATCTGCTCTTGTACTGAAAGATCTGTGCATTCATTCTGGAGAGCGACTTGTCTTGGGTACTCTACATAGCCGATCTACTTAACTCTCTCGCCAACTGTGTGTGATGAATGCAGTGATACGCCAACTGTTCCTAGTGCTTTAGACAAGACTATGTGATGTGATGCAGTGTATGTATGTATGTGCACTTTGCATCATGTTTTCGTCTTGTTGGCCAGGTGGCCTGACATTGGCACCATGGGAGGTGGCGGGTCTTCAGCAGCTTGTGGAGATATTGTCGCAGTGGCAGAAGCGCGGCAACAAGCAGGACATCCCTCCACATCCACCAGGTCAAAACTCGGGGAGACAAACGTATGTGGGAGCAAGTGGGGGCCGGGGGGTGGGGCGGGGTGGGCACCAGGTGCATGCCTGCACTGCTGTTGCCACATGCCTGGCTGCAAGGCTGCACACACTGAAACTGATGCTGCCGACCCTTTCCAAATATGTTGAAGGCAGTTGCAAAAGTACAGTGTGCATCAAACACGTTGTGGACACTGCACATGTACAAACAACATACATAACACATTGTCATAATACAATGCACTACATTGTCAATTTGCAAGAAGTGGCAAAAGCTGGGCCAATTGCCTTTGGGCCGACAGAGGCAAGTTTTGCATCCTTGATGTGCATGCGTTCATGACATTTGAGTTATATTTGTTTGCTTCTACTTATCTGAATATTCAAAACCAAATTGTTTGATTTGTTCAAACCAACAGCCAGAGAACCAGGATGCTGAAGAGTTGGCACTAACGGCTCAAAACCTGCATGCTTTCCCCATTCTCTAATGTGAACAGTTTGGTATTGCATGCAACTGACACACTCATGATCACCTCTGTGCATGCATAGGTATTGTGACTGTCATAATGTGATCACTGACTGTTGCACATGGGTGGCTTACAGACGCTGTCTTTGCATTTTTCTGCTTGATGCATGTGCTTGTGCCAACCTTGCTGTTTTGCTGGGTTACGTTGTTTTGGAATTGTCAGGCCCAGATTGATATGCCTTGGAGGCACTGAGTCAAGTGGCAAAAAAGCTGTTTGATGGTTAGGATAGGTAGCCAGTATAGCAAGAGGTGCCACCCTGGAATTGTTGATCGCCTTGTGTCCATTCAAAGTGGAGGACTTCGTCTATACACTTCTCACATATCAATAGTACAAATGAATGTCTGCAGATGCCCTCATAAACAAGGTGTGTGGAATCATGAAGGTCGGTTGCAAACTATGGCACCAATACATTCCACATAGAGGCATCTTGGCTTTTAGTGTTGGCGGTGTTCCGGTCCTTGTCGTACTGTGTCCAACTCACTACACAGCAGGTATTGCAATCCGCTGCTGCATTCATGTTCTTGGTTGCATCTGTCCTTGGCCTTGAGCCTTCGCTCACTTGGTACAGGTAGTAAGGTGCTGTGACAGCACAGTTTGCTGCATGGAGATACAGGGAGATTAACTGATGGTGAAGCAGCACTTGGCTTGTGTTGGCTGTTGCAGAAGCACTGCCTTCTCGCCAATTTGGATATTTGTGCAAATGGCAGCATGTGCTGTTGCCTGTCCAAAGATTTAATAGGTTTTGTTTCAAAACGAATAATGCCTTGACAGAGGAGAAACGATGCCTTGAAAGAAAGCGAATATAAAATAGAATAAAGGAAACGCAGAAAGAAAGTGCAAAATATAATAGTAAAAATGTAAAAAATAGGAGAGACCAGGACAAAGACAAACGATGAGGCAGCCTCAACATGTTATGCTATGGCATCGCCCTCTGGGGAAGAGATGTGTGCACCCTCGCATACGTGGTTGGCGTGCACAATTGCCTCTAGTTTGTGTGGGTTTTGCACAGTGCTGCAATTCATGCTAGCTTTATGCATTCGAATAGCCTGCAGGGATGTACCGAGGTACTTGTGCCCATGAACACCAGGGGTTGGTTGCTGACTGGACCATGAACGCCAGACAATCTGCACCAGAAGCAAAGAGTGCATGCATGCATAGAATCCTTGCTTCTCGTGTTCCTGGACGTCAGAATTCAGTCATTCTCTTGAGGGATGATTTTATTTCTGGGAAGTTGAACAGCATCGCTGGTACATTGCAGAGCACATCCATGAATTGGATGCATAGGTGGCAACAAATAGTGGGAGATTGTGAAGAGTTGGCTGAGCATCCCTCCCTGAGCTTCCAATGTCAGTGTGATGAATACTAGCCATGGATGAACGTCACAATACTTGAACATTGTGCTGTCTACCAATGCTGATACTTCGTAGGGCGTGAATTGCCACTGACTGAAGTGCTCCGGGCATTTGCAGCTACAGTTCCAGAAATCTTGTTTTTACCATTGCTGCTGTTCTAAGTTGACGATAGCTGGGTGCCACAGGTTTGTTGTCTGAGCTCCTTCAGCGTCTGGAAGATCTTAAGGGACAAGAGCAGCTTGAAGCTTCAGAGCCAGCAGCTGCTATTGGTGAGAATAGTGTGTTGTTAATACTGTTGGTATTGGATAAAATCCAAGCAACTTGGACACTGTTCAGCATTGAATCTTCATCCTGCTCCTGGCGCAAGTGTTTTAAATGCATGTATCAGGAGAGGACAATACACAGCTCTTGCACCAGCAAAGCGATGCCAAGCAATGGTCCATGTTCAGATTGTCCAGAATATGATCACCAGAAATGCCAGAATCTAATCCAGACCAGGAGTTCAGACTGCTAACATGTCCACAGCCTGAATATCATTCTCTAGCTTGGGCCAGTTTTTGAAAGCATCAATGGAATGAAAATGCAGAGATGGTTGACATTCTTTGCTTCCATGATGGTCTGGTTGCTGCAAGCAATCCAGGAGCTTGAATACATCCAGGGCTGTGGAGCAATGAGCTGATGTTGGACAATGTGGCAGGTGTCTTAGCAAACGCCACAGTGTGTGTTCATTGATCACAGTGAAGCAGGTCAGCAGATATGAAGCACAGGGATTTGAACCCAGAAAGGTCACCTGCACTTCCATAATGGTCCTAATTGACATTCTGTTGGGTGTGCTAAGTACTCCACCCTGTGCATGGATTTGATGCTTTTTGCCTTGACGGTATTTGAACAGAAATGCATTCATGTATCACATGCATCCTGAGTGCAGGCTGTGCCCGAGTGCTTGTGCACAAGGACATTGTTGCTTTGGTGTTACTTTCATATAAGAACTGTTTTATCCTCCACTGCCAGGTGATGCCATTGGAGAGAAGTACACAAGCCGCAGCCAGGGGGCAATGGAGCCCAGCCTCCCCACAAGGGCAGAGGATAAAGGGCACGGGAAGGATGGAAAGGTTGAGAGGAATGGCAACCAAGCAGGCTGCCTGAACGGAAGCCAGGTGACTGGAGTGCAGAAGCGCATGTCTGCCTGGCCCTCGATCAACAGCTGCAGATCGGGCAAAGTCAAGGCTGTCCACGATGAGAATCGCCGTGATGGGTCAGTGGTCAACTCTATGAACAAGGGCTCACAGCTGGGGACAGAGTGGAAGGTGCCCAAAGGTAGCCCTCCTGGGTCTCAGAAAGCGAGGGAGCTGTTGAAGGCGTCGGTCAGGAGGCGACATGTGGCAAAGGAGCCAACACGTGCACCACAAGCATTGCCCAATGCCCAGTTACAAACAGCCATCCACAGCTTGGTGCACCAGAGACCTGGCCCAGGTACGGACGTGCCACAAGGGCAGAGTGCTGAAGGGATTGAGGCCGTGAGGGACTGCACAGAGGCAGGCTGTGCTCACAGGCAACTGCAGGAGACCAGGAGATTTGCAGACAGCGACGGGAGACCCGAGGAGGAAGATACACACAGGGAGCCACAGGAGGGCAGGAAGCTAGGTGATGCTCACAAGGTGCCAGGAAACTCACAAGGACGCGTAGGAGAAGAAAGACGGCCTCCACAGAGTGGTTTAGGTGCACCTGATCGCAATGGGGACAAATGCAGTGGGTGTGAGATGCGAAGATCTACAGACACTGTTGGTGATCCCAAAGACAAGAGTTGCCCTGGGTGCAGTGTTTGTCCACAAGAGGGAGAAGCACAAACGGGGATTGCATCCCTTGGCAAGCGGGTGAGCTGTTGGCTGGATGAGAATGTGCCCTGTGGCTTCAGTGCAGAATGCACGCAATGCCAGTGTATGCTGCAGAGAACCAGTTGCATGGCTGCACCTGTTGCTTGCAACCAGGATGGCATGAGCTTCATGGAAGGTATTTGCATATGTGGTTTGCAATAAGCGAAGAAACATATGTGGAAATTAATTGATTTATGTGCACAGCTACAAGTAGAGCTGCAGTGCAGTTATGTTCTGTGCAAGAGCTTGAGTATGGTGGGTCATCGCAACATGTATGGCCACCTGCAAGCTTGTGTGCCATGCACAAACTGGTCGCGCATGTTTCCAGGACTTCAGCTTAAAATGGCTAGATTCTGCTGCGATTGTCTCTTGTAGGAACTGAGGCAACATCCAGCTGGCTTTGTCAAGTTTCGTACTGCATTCAGCACTGAGCAGATGGGCATCCTTTATTTTAATAGTCCTGTTTGCTTCAGTGACGCATGTGATTATGCTTTTGCTTGTTGCAAAACGACAAGGCACAGCCTTTGGTGATCCAAGGCGATGACAATCACATGGCTGGCTGTGCCAATCACAGAAATGGGCTGCCATGCTGGCTGTGAAGAAGAGCCTGGCAGTCAAGCAGTGGCCCTTGCAAGAGGTAACCCTGACTGCCTACCAGCCTCCAAAACAGCCTTGCAGTGTCGATGCCTCAAAATCTTTGGATTCTGTGGAGGAAGATCGGAAGAGGAAACTTGGCCACCTGAAGGCCCTCCTTAGGGGCAAGACGAAACTGCAGGTCTGCAACACAGCTAAGCACCAACCGATGTGATATGTACTTAGTGTGCTAGTGTAAGTACAGTAGTGTCAAGTATGTAATGTAAGCCTGCATTTATTGATGGCATGTCCTATTGTTGCACGCACTCCACAGGTGCAGGGCAGTCAGAGATGTTGCAAAGAACATATCTCCAACACGGGCACAGCATCACATCTGTTGCACCTTGCCAATTGCTCTTTTCACCGAATGAGCCATTGGCCTTTGCGCATAAATGCACATGGTATTGTCAACACTATATGGGAGCTATTAGCTCGCTTGCTTGTCTGGACGAAATTGGGATAGATGTTCCCTTCTGTGTCCCCGCTGTTTCTGTTGCATATTCATTGTGAGGATGGTGCACGTGTATTTTCAACATGTTGACTATTAGTGAACACCACCCAAGCAATGAAGCAGCATTGAAACATGCATGCTTGAACACACACCGTGCGTGGCGTATATACAAGGTGCACACTGTGAATTGTAGGATGGTGAATTGTAGGAGATAAGTTGGTGTTCAGTATGGTACAGTATGTGTGGCTTGGGAGCATACAGTGCCATGCTTTTACAGTTTGTCACCTGTGCCTGGGGATTTGGGCAGGAGTGTATTGAGTGCCGGGCAGCATTGTTGCAAGACTATGACAGTTGTCCTACTATGCATTTGTAGCTACTATACAGTACTGTTCTGGTGCTGTCATAGTTTCAGCCTGTGTGGTTGTGCGTAATCTGCCCTTGCTGTATGTGTGTCTGAACCTGATAGTATGTTTGGACTATGGCATTGCAACGTGGAACATGTTTGTTACACTTCTTGTTGTTGAGCAGTTGTTCTCACCTTTCTGCACTAGGTTGATTATAATGCCAAATGCCTGCTCACTTTCTCAAATTTGTTATCGAAGTATGTTAAGAATACTCTGCATCTTGTGCATTTTCTTCCTTGCATGCCCTTTGCTTTATGACTCTAAATGGAGTGAAAAATTGACATTCTGCCTGCTCAGCAATGTCCTGGCATTGTTCACATCCACAAGTACATGCACCCAATGTAGTACCTTCCCCGTGCCCACAGAACAGGCTTAGTGGTGGATGTGCACTGCCAGCATCAATGCAGTGGTTGTGTTGATGTTGCGTCGATGGTGCATTCCCATCGACGCGATATTAGCTTCGCGCCTGCATTCAGGCTGCTGTCAGGTTAATGTTTTCTGGTTTCACAATGCTTTTGCGTTGAAGCTGCTGGTGATGGAAGCTCCCTGTACTGTTGTGTTGCTTGTCCTTTATTATTCGAGCATGTTGTAAGTACATCAAATGTTGTGTTGAAGAAGAAGATTAGGGTTGTGCCAGGCCTGAGACTGTGCTGACAACATAGATTTTGCTTGCATCCCTAGGCCAGTGTCCAAGTGGGTGGCGTCCAGCTACCAGACTCGGGAGCGCGACTTGCAGCACACATCGACGAGCTACGAGAGGGTATCAAGGAACTGGGGGGTGACCCTGACGACATTTTTGACGATGCTGTGACAAAAAAGGGCTTTGCTCCTGCCCAACGGAACTCCAACACACATGCCATCACCCCTCTTGTGGTGTCCAGCCTGCCAGAGCCATCGCCAAGAAACTTCGACAGCAGGCATGCGGATGGCCAAGAGCCACACAGCAAGCCTGGGGATACCGATGGGAAAGAGGCCAAAGCTGGGGCATGGGGAGGGAAGGGGTGGACATTCGAGGATGAAGAGGGCAGGGTGCAGGTGTGCAGCTGTTGTTGATTCCCAGATATTGTTGTACCAACCCAGACTTCAGCTGCCTTTGTCATCCTATCAATAGTGGTCTGGGCCTCGTGCCATCTCACAAGAGAATGCAAGTCGAATTTGAGCCCAGAAGGTCGATTGATTGATCGACGGATTAATATACAGGGCCAGGATTGAAGAATGCTGTCTGTGGTAAAAAAACATACCATATGTGACCAGTGTGCCAGTGTGCCTGTATTGTTGTTGTTCCAATGTGCAGTGTGGGTAGAATTCTGCCAAACATATCACATGGCAGCTGCAAGGACAGATGCCTTGTCACTTTTCAGCAGATGCAGTCAAAAGAATGAACCACCCTGAGTGGCATGCCAAGGGAACTGGTGCTCTGTGCTATTGGCTGGTATTACATTGAATCAAATTCATCTCTCTGTCAGGGTCCCTTCACAGCCGACCAGCTGAAGATGCTGAAAGACCATGACTTGGTGACAGATTCAACAGTCTGTTCCCATCCTCTCATGGGAGCCCTTGCCCTGCTGAAGGTATTGGGTGGCTCCCTCAATGATGGCAATTCCTGCACGCCTGACTGCGATCAATGCAGTGTCGCCCCTGCAGTATCGAGTGCAGGCAGCTTGTCCAAGGATGGGCCCTTGGACCCCAAACTGAGCCATGAGGGTGCAGGAGAGGGGTTTGAGGGTGAATCCAGCTCGGGCAGTATCTTGAACCATCGTGACGGCCAAGGGGCTTGCCCAGACAGTGCGCCTGAGGGCCTGATATTCTATCCTTGCAGCCAGGTCCAGGAAATTGACCCTGAGGGCAACGTTGACGTTGTCACTGGCAATGCTGGCACGCCAGCTCCTGGGGAGTGTGTCGGACAATCACACTGTGGAGGTGTGGGTCAGCTTGATCGTCCTGATGTGGACAGTCAGGCAGAGATGTTGCCAGCTCCTCCTGACCACCCCACAGGTTTTTTTCCAATTGCGGCAGGTACCCAGCAGGATTTGCAGACCTGTGGGAATGTGGGGATGCCAGTTTGCTGGGATGGACAATTGGTTAGTTCCAAGCAGGCAAGTGCCCAACAGCCTTTTGATACCAGTCTCACGTGCCAACGAAGCTTGCATCGTGCAGAAGTTCAGGAAGCTTTGGACTGTACAGCAGCACAGGTGGATCTCGGTGGAGATGAGTTAGTGCAGGATGATAGGTGCCGTGGTGTGACATCCATCACAGGTATGTCACACCAGTCTTGTGCGGTGGGCAGTGCACATTACGCAAGTCAAATTGGACAGGCTGCCAGCCCCGCATTCAGCCTCCAGAGCGCTGCAGGTGCTGCACCTGGCAGGGTCGGCCTTTTGCGCGACTCTGAGCTCAACGGATCGTTTGCAAATCAGGGCGCCACCTTGCACCTTGCAGCATCGATGAACAGCCCATTGTCCAACGGCTTGGTCAGTGGTTCGTTCACCGGCCAGGGCGCTGCCCTGCTCGCATGCAACCAGCCGATCCGCATGGAATCAGGTTCATCGATGAACGAACTTGAGGATGCAGAGATCTGGCAGTTTGTGAACCACCTGGGTGCGACAGAGGGCCCAGTTTCATTGCGCCGTCTTCGCTGCAAGTTCCAGTCTGGCTTGGTGTCTGTGAATACTATCTGCCATGATGAGGACGAGGGCACCTCAGTGACACTTGGTCGCCTGATGGCTGGGCTGCCAGACTTCGTGGTTCAGGCCAGACTCCGGAAATTGAGGCACAGTTCACAGGGAATGGCTGCCAACGCGCTGCCCTTGGCCCAGCCTGTGGGCTGCATGCGTCACAGCCCTTTGTCCCATCCTGTGCCCAGAACGTTTGAAGACTCAGGAGCGTCATCTAAGACGCTTGCAGTGGTAAGTTGCCGGCCGTCAGAATGCCTGCCCCCAACCGCTCCGTCTCTATCATCTCGCTGGTTTTGTTTGTGTAGGGCACATGATGTCGAGACAGATGTGGCGAATGTGTGATTGTCCTACCGTGGTTGGTTTGGTCACCCTCGGTTCTCATAGGGTTGTGCAACTTTTGGCAACGCAGGATTCACGTCTACCTATGGGCCTGATTTACCCCGAGGCCCCCAGCAGTGCACTGCAGACTGGGTGCTACCAGCTGCAAACAGCGCCTCAGGCAGCCCAGGCCAGCCGACTGTTCATGCAACAGCAGCCGATGGCGGCACCTGTCAATGGCGCGGGATGCACCGCAGGGTCCAAGTGGCCCACTGGTGCCTTTGCGGCTGGTGGCGTTGCGATACAGGGTCATGCCAACCCAGCGTTTATCCCCTCTCCCATCGCACAAGCAGTGGAAGGCGGCATTCTTCAGATGCGTCCCAACGTCCCGCCCCCGGTCGGCCTGCAGTTTGCATACCAGATTCCGCCGAGCGGTACGTACTTTACCCGTCGCTGAGTCGGAGACCACCCAAACAGCAGAGGCAGCGGTGATCGCGAGTGCCGGTCAGCACATAGACAGCGGTAGGATGTCACCCAGCATTGCCTGTATTTGTAAAGTGGGAATCGGAGAGGAACACCGTCAGCTGGCCTGCAAGTCAGATTTTCTTGGTCGCAGCCTTGCATGGCGTGTGCATGACCTTTCTTGCCTCGCTGTGCACACGGCGTGTGCTTCTATGCTTCATACGCATGCCCTCCTCGGCAACTGCACCTTGGCATGTTCACCATTGTGAGTGGTGGGGTGGGGTGGACACAATGTCAACATTGGTGCGCTTCAAGCCTGGAGGTTTGGCCCAGACGTGAAACACGTCCCTTGCCTCTTGCATGGTGATGGCAGGCATGGCGTGTGCGCCCAGCATCACGGGTTAGACTCGCCAGAAAGCCATGGCAAACACGCCCTTGCACCTTGTAGGCCACGACGGGTGCGGGAATTCGAACGACACGCGCGCAATGCCCCCAGAACAGAGTACCGCACAGCGACCACGTGCCAAACGTTGAAGGGCAACCCCAACGAAGAACAATGAGGGGAAGGAAAGGCACGAACAGAAATGGTGCGTGCACGTGGTAGTGGTTTTGCAGCTCTGCATCGGCGACTGGTCAAGCATAAGGCACGCTGCCACCAGGGCTCCGCATAGCGGCCACTCGTGTTCTGTGCAACCACTTTTACAGTCACTCAATGCCGGGAAAGAGTGAGATATTGAGTGATCAATCGCCGACGGGTCGGACTGCGCTGTTGGTGGGGCGCATGACTGGTGCCGTGTCATGTTTGGACAAATGCAGCGAATGAAGACTCGCGCCGGTTGGACCTGCGTTTGTCCACGGCAAACAGGTTGTCCACCACAGCAGCGACGTTTCAGAGGGCAAGGACGACGCAAGAGGCGCGGGGAGCGTGAGAAAACAAAGAAGCAACAAGCTACATCGCAACACTCCCACAGGCACAGGCTGCACTCACGGTCCAAATTCCTGCTGCATTGTTTCGTGCTTCCATTTCCAAAGTTCTACCGGCCGTCTGCGACCGCAGACAAAGGCATCTGGGCGCCGATCCTACCTCCTACACCCCAGTCCCCCATAGCCTCGAGCACTCCTACTTATGTCGATCTGAGCGTGCTCGTGTCGCAAGCAAATAATAGAAGTGCTCCTAACTGTCAAGTGTGTTCGTGTTTTCTTTCTTTTCGTGTCTTTGATTGAAGATTGCACCCTGTGTGGCGCCCACTCCGGCCACTCCTGCAACAGTCACCGTCTCCTGCAAATCAAGAACCAACAACCTCTCTTCGCCAGCAGCATCCTGCGCAGTGGCGAACATCCAGTGGAACTGTGAAAGCTTAAAAACAAGTAGAGCTGGTGTGCGCCCTCTTATTCAGCCAAAGCAAGGGCCCCCCGGTGGTCCCAAACCTCGCTGCCTGCATGCCTTTCAACAAGCATCTGGGCTCACGCGGTCTGCAAACCGCCCACCGTCCCCATTCCACACCTGCAGCCCCCAGACTTGTGCATCACAAGCTGCGATTCGGCCCTGGCCAGCACTCTCCCGGCAAGCCACACCTAGAAACGCAAGGGCGGGCGCTGGTGCTCCCATTCATGCATGTGGATGCACGGCCCCCACGCCCTCTGCCACCCTCTGTTGACAATGCATCATGTACTGTTTTCTCCTCATGTTGTCGTGGTTCTGCCGCTGCCGCCTCACCTGCGCCTTGATCTCCCTGCAGCGGGGGACGCGGCAGTCAGGAGTCTGGCAGCCCCTCGCGTGCAGCTGCAGGAACGTCCACATCCTCCTGCACTCCTGGCAGCCGCCCCTCACGGACGTCGGGCACTGCACGATGTGCTTGTACAGCTGCTTGATGCGCTCGCACATGGGCAGGCACTGCAGGTTCTGGCACTTGGAGGCGTGGACCAAGAACTTCAGCATGCGCTCGAACGCCAGCTTCTTGCTCTTCAGCTGCGCATCAGTCCTCGTCCGCGTGCCAGCCGCGCCCTCGTCCTTGGGCAGTGCCTGGCGGTGCGGCACCAAGGGGTGCTCGTGCTTCCTCCCCGATCCCTTGCAGCCCAGGCACATGTCGAAATCAGGGCACACCGTGCAGCGCAGCCCCTGCCCCGGTTCCATCTCCCTGTTGCACACGTTGCACGTGGCGGCGAACGCCGGGGCGAGCGGGTTGTGCAGGTGGTACAGCACCATCATGGACGAGTGCTTGGCCCGCCGGAGGTTGTCGAACTGGTAGTGGTTGCCCTTGCAGAGCGACAGGAACATCTGCCGCTGCTCCAGAATTTCGCAAGGCATCTGCAAGTCCGTGTCTGGGACCACGTTCACAGGCTCCACCTCTCGCCTGTGGAAGTCGTGCAGGGCGATCCCCGATGGCAGCCCCGATGGGCAGCCCGCCTTCACGCGATTGTCCGCCGCGTGGTAGCAGCTGGGGCAGAGCTGGAAATGGTCGATGGGGCCCGAACGGGGTCCGTGCGGCGTGCCGAGCTGGATGCCTTCGAACCGGCGCCCAATCATCTCATGCACAGGCTTCTGGCCGCCCACAGGCGCCCGGTACACGAACCGCGGTGTGTTCTTGATGTACTTGCGGCAGAAAGAGCACGGCTCCCTCAGATGAACGACAATGAAGTCCTCCCACTGAGGCGAGGGCTGTCCAGTCAATATGCACTGCATCAGCTGGTCGTCAACGCTGCTGCCCCTCCCCCTCGGCTTCCTCTTGTTGGACGACGGCCGCCCCGCACTGGCGCCCAGCTTGCCCTTCTTGTCCTCCTGGCCCCCGCTCTCCATGATGTCCTTCACCAGCTTCTCCACTTCCCCGGGCCAGTAGTCTCCATCGAAGTAAGGCACTGCCACTGCATTGAAACTGTCATGGTTGTGGTCCTTCCCACCCTCAAAGTACATGTCGAACAGATTGGACACGTGTTTGACATGTCCAAACTGCCGCGCCGTCTCCAGCATCTCCATGTACCAATTCCGGAGGCGCTCGGAGTTGGGGGTCTTCTGCTTGGGCGGGTGGCAGTAAAGGATGTAGTCATCACCCTGCTGGCATGGGGGGCAGGCCCAGATGAACATAGCGTGGAAACCCAGCCGCTTGACATATGCCATGTAGTTTATGAGTATCTCGTGGTACACAAAGGTCCTTAAGGACACGTTTCCCCCTGCTGCCAGTATTTCAGGCCGAAAGTACCTGACGGAGTCGATGTAGGACAGGTACACCCAGTTCTTGTTGGGCTCTGGGCAGTCCTCGCCATACTCCTGCACGTAGAGGCAGAAAAGGCAGGTGTCCACACCATCCAATTTCTGGAACAGCATGATCACCTTCTGCCTGTACGGCAACTCTGCGGGCATGCCTTTGTCCTTGAAGGCGTCATAGAACGTTGGCAACACCTCACACTTTCTGGACACGTTATTAACAACCCGGATAGTGAGCCCCTCCACGCCGAGCACCTCCGAGGGCGCCAACCCCTGCTTCTGTGCCCTCTCGCGCCTCTCCCACTCCAGCCGATGCGTCAGCTTGTCCTCCAGGTGGTTGCTCAGGTTGCACTTGGGCAGGTCTGCCGCACTCAGCATCGACTTGGTCCTGTTGGCCTGTGGATAAGCCCTTGAGCCGTCTTTGAGGCCCTTCATGAGGCAGGTGGGGCAATGGTAGTGCGACTCCTGGTCGTTCTGTCCCTTGTTGAAGAGTCCACACACTTGGTGCACCCAGTTCTGGCAGTGGTCGCACTGCACCCAGGGCTCCGAGACCTGCTCCTCATTCTTCATTCGCACCAAGTCGTCGCTCTTACTGAACTGGGACTGGCCGACAGTCAGCACATCCCCCTTGGCCGCCGACACGTAGCACTGGTGGCAGAAGCTGACCTTGACCTGGGCCTCGGCTTGCAGATTGGAGTAGTACACCTGTTGGCGCTTGATGCGCTGGTAGCACAGGTCGCAGTATATGCAGGGCGGGTCGAACAGCAGGTCCGCCTGCCCGCACACTGTGCAGCAGTCTTCCGAGGAGCTGGTCAAGCTGCCATCCTTCTTGGAGGGCGGCACGGATGCTCGGCTGGCTTTCAGGTGCTTTTGAATCTCCTCGACTGTCAGAACCTCCAGCAGCGATGTGCCAAGAGTCTTTGGGGGTACTGACTCCACCTTGATCCGCTTGATCCTGTCACTGCTCGGCATCGGTCTCTTGGCCATCGTTTCAGACACCGGGACCATAGGCACTGGGTGCTGAGGGTATCCGTTGGGTATGCCATCAAATGAATTGGGACCCAGGGGAGAAGGGCCGTGTGGTGAGGTGGCGGTTGTGCTCGTCATGTAGTCGTGAGGGCGTTTACGCACGATCGGGGTGGACATTGGTTGCAGAGGCGAAGGTGCGCGGGGGATGGTTGGGTGCATCCCTGGAGGCACCTGCGGAACCATGTTCATCTCTGGGCTGGGTATAACCTGCGTCTGGGCAGACTGGTTAGACAGCATAGCCATTTGGCGCTGCTGCTCCTGCTGCTGCTGCTGCTGCTGCCGCTGCTGCCGCCGCCACTGCTGCTGTTGCTGGAACTGCTGTTGCTGCTGCTGCTGCTGAAACTGCTGGTGCTGCTGCAACTGTTGCTGCTGCTGCTGCTGCTGCTGAAACTGTTGCTGCTGCTGCTGGTGCTGCTGCTGAAACTGTTGTTGTTGGAGTTGTCGTTGCCTCTCCCGTTCTCGAATCCTGGCGTTCTGCAGCTCCCGCACCTTGTTCACCTTCTCCTTCACCGGCCCACACAACAGGCACCGCTCGTTGGCACACTTGCAGTGGTGGCGCAGCAGCACCTTGGAGTAGTGGCAGTTCCAGAACAGGCAGCCCTCGTCCTTGCACTGGAACAGGTGGGACCACAACTCCCTGCCCCTCAGGCAGTGGGCCCTGTACGGGCACGTGGCCTCCGGCAGGCTGCACTTGGCCGTGTGCCGCAGGAAGAACAGCCACTTCTGGTGCTCGATCAGCTTCTTCCGCACCGCCTCCGGCGACT